TGATGACTTAGAATTTGAAAGCTGAAAATCCCTTCATCTACCTCCTCTTCAGGCCGAGTGTCCTTACCCCAACTCCATTCTAGTTCTACCGATGCTCCCATTTGTCAGATGAGGAAAGTGAAGGCCCCAAACCTGTAGAGTCAAGTATCTTTCATCTTTTGTGTCCTCTTTTCCTCCTGTTTAATTTTACCTTCTTTTCCTACTTGTCCAACAAGAAAAGTCATGTTTTCCTTCTCTTCTCCTCAGTCTTCACTTCACTCCTCCACTGAAAAGTCTGTCTCACAAAGATCATCTAAGAGTTCTTGGTTGCCCAGCCTCAGATATCTGCCTGGTGTCCCTCAGTGATAGTTGATGTTTTTGAACAACTCTTCTTCAGATTCCTTTCCCTTGAATTCTTCCCCAGGCATGCTCTGTAGATTCTAACCATTTCTTCTCTGTCCAAATCACTTCTACTTTCTTTCTGCCAGTTGTCAGCTTTCTGGAAGCCATGCTGCCTTGAATTTGCCTTTCCACTCACACCTTAATCATCTCTATGGCACAGCTATATTGTACTACAAGTCACAGAAATTTTATGAAAACCATTATGTTCAATTTTTTGTACATTTTCTGGATTCTGTTTGTTATTCAAACAGCCATTGTGTTACTTTTAAAAATGTCTGTGGCAGACCAGTGATCTAGCTCTGCATTCTTATCACTGGCTTTCACTGTAGGATATTGTTGTTATGTGTCACCTAGTCAGTCCTGATAGAACTATCTAATAGTGTCCCACTGCTATTCATAAGATTTTCCGTGGCTAGACATTGAGAAGTAGTCCACCTCTCCTTTTTTTCTGTCTGTCTTAGTCTAGAAGCTCAGCTGAAACCTGTCCATCCTGGGTATACTCTTGTTGGTGTTGTTAGGTGCCATCGAGTCGGAACCGACTCATAGCAACCTTATGCACAGCAGATTGAAACACTGCCCGGTCCTGGGCCAACCTCACTACTGTTGCCACGCTTGAGTCCATCGATGCTGCCACCAAGCCAATCCATCTCGTTGGGGGTCTTCCTCTTTTTCTCTGACCCTCCACCTTACCAAACATGATATCCTTCTCCAGTGACTGGTCCCTCCTGACAATATGTCTGAAGTATGAGAGACAAAGGTTGGCCATTTTGGCCTCCAAGGAGCATTCTGGCTGCACTTCTTCCAAAACGGATCTATTGGTTCTTTTGGCAGCCCATGGCACTTTCAGTATTCTCATCCGACACCATAACTCAGATGCATGAATTCTTCTTCAGTCTTCCTTATTTACTGTCCAGCTTTCACATGCATATGAGTGTTGATAATTGATCCAAGAAAAATGAAGTCCTTAACAACTTCAATATTTTCTCTATTGATAAGAATGTTGTTTATTGGCCCAGTGGTGAGGATTTTTGTTTTCTTGACATTGAGATGTAATCCATACCTAAGGCTGTGTCCTTTGATCTTCATTAGTAAATGTTTTAAGTCCTCTTCACTTTCTGCAACAAGGTTGTATCATCTGCATATCTCAGGTTGTTAATGAGTCTTCCTCCAATCCTGATGCCATGTTTTCTTCATAGAACCCAGCTTCTCAGATTATTTGCTCAGCATACAGGTTGAATAAGTATAGTGAAATAATACAACCTTGTTGCATACCTTTCTTAATATTAAACCATTCAGTGTCCCCATGTTCTGTTTGAACAACCGCCTCTTGGCCCATGTACAGATTCCTCATGAGCACAATTAAGTGCTCCCGAACACTCTGTTGTTAGCTGCCTGCCATTCATGGCAACCCCATGTGCAACTGAATGAAATGTTGTGTGGTCCTGCACCACCCTCACAATCACACGTCAGACTAGTGGGCTCCATAAGGTTGTCATTGGCTCATTTTTAGAAGTAGATCATCAGGTCTTTCTTCCAAGCCCATCTTAACCCAAAAGTTCCACTGAAATCTGTTCAGCACCACACAAGCCTCCACTGATGGACGGTGGTGGTTACACCTGAGGTGCATTGCCGGGAATCAAATCATGGAAGGCAGGAATCCCACCACTTCCCCCAGAGACATTCTTGATGGTGGTGGTGGTTGTGTGCCGTCAGGTTGGTTCCAACTCGTAGGGTTTCCAAGTCTAGAAGTCTTTATGGAAGTAGAAAGCCTTGTCTTTTTCTCTGTGAGCTTCTGGTAGATTCAAACTGCTGACCTTGTAGCTAGCAGCCCAACATGTACCCCACTACACTACCAGGGCTCCTTGAGACTTTCTTAGGATATGATATGATTACTCGAGTACCCTAAATCTTATCATACAAGAATCTTTCACCACAGTGGGTTGTCGTGTGAGGTAGAAGAGTAGACAATTGGGAAATATAGGGGGAAGGGGCTCATTGAAAAAGGAGATTTGAAGCTTGTCTATGAACACTTAGCTCATAGGTCCCTTTATTGTCACCAACTCAAAGTTGCCTCTCCCTGAGTTCTACCTGGTCTCTGCTCCTCATTAACCTCACTGGTTTTTAAGGTTATTATTTGAAATAGTCAATTCTCTTAATGACTATATTTGACATTCATTTCAACTCACTTCATTTATTTTAAAATATCGAGGAGATAATTTATTATTGGGGGGGTGGGGGTGTGTGTGTGTGTGTGTGTGTGCGTGCGTGCGTGCGTGCGTGTGTGTGTGTGTGTTCAGGTGTTGAGGATTGATTACAGCTGCTTTTGATCAAACCCTAGCCACCTTCCACTCATTTTCATTCTAAGGGCCTCACCAGTGAGACAAGGCCCATGGCTGAAACAACAGAAAGAAAGAGTATCAGCAAGTTACTATACCAAGCAGTTCTCTTGAGACCCTTTGGCAAATAGCAGTTAAATGCTCACCTACAAACAGTTCTCTGATGGTTGACCACAAACTTTGCCCTCTACTGTATAAGCATAGTTAGTCTTTCTGTTAACGCTGTGTGTATATTCTGTTGTCATTATTATTTATCACCTGGTGTGGCGCTGTAGGATAAGCCTGGACCACAAGGGTAGTTTGAACTGCAAGGTCGGCGGTTCAGTCTCACCAGCTGTTCCTCATAGGGTCTCTATGATTCAGAAACAACTCAATGGCTCTTAACAAAACAATATCAGTTATTATCTGCACATGTAATACAACAACCTCAAATGGTAACTATAATGATCTACATTAATTCCAACAAGAGAAAAGAAGCAATATAAGTTTTATTTTAGTGGCTCTCCATTCTCATATTGTCGCTAGATTAATTTCCTGAAAACTTAATGTTAGATGAAGTGTAATTACAGACTTCCTTAAGAATCATTGACAGACACTTATCCTATGTTATAAGCAACTCACACTGTGAAATGTGTGCAAACATTCAACGTTTTCTCCCAGAGGAATATACTTCAGTGGAACCAACATCCACCAGTCTTTTTTTTTTAAATAACAAAGCTACTGAAGCTCAAAAGAGAAAAAGAAGAAGTTTGGTGAACTTTGCCTTAAAACAGATCAACATTCCAGAAATCTTAATTGGTTATCAGTAAGGGAAATCAGTCTTTGATAAAGTATTGTCTCAGAGACCTTAGCAACCTTTGGCTAAGGGATCTACATTTTGAATGAGACAGTAGACGAAATATTTATTTAGGTATTGGCATTGAATAATTGAAAGGGGAGTATTTCTTTATAGCTATATATTTTTGAATTGTTAGGTGGTTTATTTGGTGCAGCTGTGTTTATTCTTCCAAAATGTAGGCTACCTACAGAATATAGAAGCAAACCCCTACAAATGAGAATAGGAATTTCTCTTAAAAAATAAAAATCATCTTGCCAGTATGGTTTAATTGAGGGGAAGCGGCTGAATTTATCAAATAACAAAGCCAGAAATAATTCTGGGCACAATCATTCAATACAGCTGGTTTGCTTATATCAGTCTTTTTGACAACCTTGGTTGTTTTTTTAAAAAAAAGTAGTTGGTATTTTGAATAAATGCTACATTCCACAGTGCAGTCAACTTGGAAAAGACAAAAAATTTTGGAAGTCACATTTCTGTAGCCAACAATTTGGCTGACTTCACTTCATTATTAAAAGTGCACGCTTAGATCATAACTGTTCATTGATCCTCTAGAGTATTGTTTCTGTTGTTAAATGCCGTCAAGTCAGTTCTGACTTATAGTGACGCTGTATAGAGTTTCTGAGGAGCAGGTGGTAGATTTGAACCCAGCCTTGCAGTTCAAACTGATTTGCCGTCCAGTGCTAATCTTACAATGCCACACCAGGACTCCTACAGAGGGCTAAGAATCCCATATTTTTTATTTAATTAATTTTTTTTTTTTTTTAAAGAAAGTGAAATATATAGAGGGTTAAGAGTCCCATATTTTGCCTTCTTCCTCTTTGAAATAAAATAATAAATAAATAAGTATGGGATCATGACAGTTTCAGCCAGGAAAGGACAGTTACCTGTTACAGAGAAACATGTACATAAGTAAATAACTATTGTGAATGAGTAATTTCAGAATCTTATGAAGCATGTGAAAGGTTGAGGTACAAGAGCTTGACTCATGTTTGGAAACATTTCTTTAGTATTTTTTCCGGTCCTCACAATTCAAATTAATGTCTATTACTACTCCTTCATATTGCCAAAATATTTTCATGAATTTGGATTAGAAGCAGCTTGTTCTGGCTTGTTTTTGCAACGTTGTTTTCAGAAACAAAGTGATATTTAGAAAATTTTTGTATGTCTTAGATGCCTTAATTATCTTATGTTGAAGGAGGAAGTAAGATCAAATTCTGTTTTGCAGTGATGACTTCATACTATGCTAATTTTACATGATCACATAATTAATGTCCTTCAGGCAATTTGAATCAGTGATTCATGGGTTTGCTTGTTAAACATTAACAATCTAGAGCCTACTTTAAATCGAAGAGTATATATTGGTCAAGAAATATTTGGGCCAACACTGATGTTAGGTTATTAGATGTTTGCTCTAATCTTGCCTTTTTTCTCCTCTCTTTTCATAGATTGGTGAAAGACAACAAGTGTTAGTAACAGAAGAGTCTTTCGATTCCAAGTTTTATGTTGCACACAACCGATTCTATGAGCAGGTAAGAGATACTCCAGTATACTTGGAATTCTCTAAAATGAGAAAATGATGGGAAAGGAAAGTAATTTCAGTAAAATATTATCTTAAAGGGAGAAGTTTCTAGAATCTTGCAGCATCAGTATTTTATCGCATCAAGTGTGTCAGGTTGATGTGGGTTTTACCTTTTTTAAGTTATTCTACAATGTCTTCTGCACCCTGGGAATGAGAGTATTTATTGTGTTTGGTCCATACTAACCTTTGACAGAACACTTTCGACAGGGAACTGCAAAAAATTCCAAGCCAGATTCAGAAGAGAATAGGAAACGAGGAACAGCATTGTCGACGTCAGATGGATCCTGGCTGAAAGCAGAGTATACCAGAATGATATATGTTTGTGTTTCATTGACTGTGCAAAGGCATTCAACCTTGTGGATCATAACAAATTATGGATAAAATTGTGAAGAATGGTAATTCTAGAACACTTAATTGTGCTCTTGCAGAACCTGTACATAGACTAAGAGGTAGTCATTCAAACAGAACAAGGGGATGCTGCATGGTTTAAAATAAAAAAAGGTGTGTATCAGGATTAGACCCTTTCACCATATTTAATCTATATGCTAAGCAAATAATTTAGAAGCTGGACGATATGAAGAAAGACAGCGCATTAGGATTAGAGGACAACTCATTAATCTGCAGATGACACAACCTTGTTGCTGAAAGCAAAGAGAATTTGAAGCACTTACTGACAAAGACCAAAGAATACAACCTTTAGTATGGATTGCACCTCAATGTTAATAAAACAAAAGTCCTCACAACTGGACCAATAAGCAATATCATAATAAACAGAAAAGATTAATGTTATCAAAGATTTCATTTTAGTTGAACCCACAATCAACTCCCATGAAAGCAGTCAAGAAATCAAATGACATATTACATTGTACAGATCAGCTACAAAAGACCTATTTAAAGTGTTAAAGAGCAAAAATCATCACTTAGAGAAGACTAAGGTGCGCCTGATCCAAGCCTTGATATTTTTAGATGCCTCATATGCATGCAAAAACCAATAATGAATGGGAAGACTGAAGAAGAATTGATGGCTTTGAATTATGGTATTGGTGAAGAATATTGAATACTAAGTGTTGTTATTCAATTAGAAAAATGAGTCGTAGATCATGGAATGTCAGAAGAACAACTTAATTTGTCTTGTGTGTAGCCCAGAATGCTCCTTAAGAAGGGAGGATGGTGAGATCATCTCACATTGTTTGAACATGTTATCAAAAGGGACCAGACCCTGGAAAAGGGCATCATACTCAGTAAAGTAGAAGGTCATTGAAAACGAGAAAGACCCTCAGTAGGATGGATTGACATGGTGGCTGAAACACAGTGGTCAAACAGAGCAACCCCCTTGAGGATTGTACAAGACAGGGTGGTGTTTTCCTTTCATTGTATGTAGGATTGCTGTGAATTGGAAATGACTTGATGGCACCTGACGACAACAACAATTTTTGACAGGACTAGTTTGGGGATTTATAACCATACAGTTAACACTTTCAAAATTCCCAGGCCCTGGATAAGTGAGGAGAAACATCCTGCTCAGAAGATAGGAATGTTATCTGCATGAAAAACAGAGTGAAAAGGCAGATTGGTGTTTTTATTGTTGAGTATTTTTGTCAGTTTGTTTCTTATTCCTTTATTTTTTAATTTTTTAATTTTAAATTTCTACATTGATAAAAATGCTGGGGACAGAGCAAAAGATTCTATCTACCCCTTATACTTAGCTCACATTGTGTGAACAGCGTTGGGGGCCAGTGTGAAGGTCAAACCAGAGTTCACTTTGAGAGTGCCCTGGGGCCTCCCCATTTACTGTTCTTCCCTCCTTGCTCTTGTAAGCTAGCCTGCTTTGTTTTACATGGTGCCAGAGTTCTGTTTCAGCATTTAGGATTCTACTTCTTCCGGTGGTAAAGCAATCCAAACGAGATTAAAAAAAAAAAAAATACCCAGAATGCCTTCTTCAGAAGCATAACCCTGGCATGCTTTGGAGACAGGACACATAGGCTCCCATTTTTCATAGTGCCTTCCAGGCAAATGGATTTCCTTTTTATATTAAAAACAAAACCAACAACAACAAAAAAACTCTTATCAGATAAGAAGTGATTTTTTTGTTCCTATGGGTCATGATTGCAGTAAGAATACTGGAAGATTCTTAAGGACAGTGTGGGCAAGTGGAGGAAGGGCTGGATGGGCAAGAGAAGCAGTCTGCCCTTGTCAGGAACGGGGCAGCAGGAGGTGACCAGGCCTCCAGCATTTATGTTCCATGTAGAAATTTTTCAAATTGGCAACAGGCCTTCAGGAAACACTGGAGGGCCTTACAAAGCCCAGAGTAAACATGCCCTGCACAGTACCTAATAGAGACCACATCTGAGTCGGATTCTCCATGTTTCACGTTTGAGCTAAGTCTCTTCACCGTTTTCTGTCTCATTAGAATGCTCTAGAGGGCCATTTTCCTATCCAGGCCGACCCTCTGCTCAGCCCTGGGGAGGAGCTTGATTGCATTTTGGTTGCCTTTTCCCTCTCCTTTCTCTTGCCATCTGGGTTTTTGCCTCAGCAGGGAACTTTCTTTCCCTTCATTTTAAAGGCAATGGCATGCCTCATTAGCTGTTTCCTCCAATTTAAAGCAGTTGGGCTTTTTCTAATTATTAAAACCGGAGGGGGAAAAACACTGAGCCCTTCATTCAGATCAAGGCAGCCGATCAAGGAGGGTGATTTCCCCCTGAAATAGCACCAAATCTCTCAGGAATAGTTTCCTTCAGAGATTTTTTTTTAAATTATAAAAATGGATTTAAAAGCGCTTTCATGGCCTGATACGAAACTCCTTTAGGTCATTTACTTGCCACAGGTGACTTGCCATTCAGAGGCCTCTTCTCCTGAATTCTGATGAAGCAGTGGATTCTGGTCCTACAAGTCAAACTCAGAAAGACCAAGATCCAACTGTGCCTCCGACAGAAGTTGGCTATGTCTCTCATCTGACTCTTCCTTTTTTTGGTTCTCTACAAGTAAGCATATCAAAGATTTCACTGGAATTCTTTTTCTAAGTAAGATGAGTTCCAGAAGTGAAGATTGTATCATCTAGGTATCAAAGTATTGCTGCATTACAATCAGTCTATTTATTTTGGATCCTAACTTGGGAAGATTGGCAAATTGCTATAGTACTAAAATAGAAATGTGAGGGAGACATATTGCATACAAACTACCTATAAGTCCCACAGGAGGGGAAACATTTGCTTGAGGTAAACAAGAGCTTTTATCAGTAATCACTAGTGGGGAAAAAAAGAACATGTGACAGTTTCCTCTGAACTAACCAAAGTAAAGTACCCTTCAGAGTAGCTGAGTGTAATTGGAGGTAGGCTCCCAGGAGTAACAAACCTTGCATTTTATAAGAAAGGTAAAGGATTGTATGGCTACCACTCATTAAAGAAGTCATTTAGCTTCCAACACCAATGTTGAGCATGTTGAAAAGATCGCTTTGAAACGTTCTCCCGCCCTTGTCCAACATGAGTTCCTGTATGTGTGCGCATGCACACATATACAGACACAAGTATGCAGGCCTAGATTTGAAGCATCTATTCAAACCATTACTCTAACAGCTAGTTTGGAAGGTATTAAAAGTATAAGGCTTTCATCAGCGCTGTCTCCATTTTCTTCATTGCATGGGACAGTCAAGAGCAGAATATCAAAGGCCTGTCCAGAAGTGTCTGGCTGATTGCTAGGGATTTCCCAGGTCTGCCATCCACATGTCCTAGGACAGCAGGCATCCTGCAGTGAAAAAGCAATGTCTTGCCACCTCTTGTTGCTAGTGTCGTCAAGTTGATTCCAAGTCATAGAGACCCTGTACAGGGTTTCTGCGGAGTGGCTGGTAGTGCTATTGGACAAGGTCAGTGGTTCAAACTCACCAGTAGCTCCTCAGAAAGCCTATGCTGGGTCACTATGAGTCGGAGCCAAGTTGACGGCACTTAACAACAACAAAATCAACATTTATAAAGTACAACATCATAACCCACTGCCATCAAGTTGATTCCGACTCATCGTGACCCTGTGTAGGGTTTTTGAGACTAAATCTTTATGGGAGCAAACAGCTTCATCATTTTCCTTTGGAGTGGTTGATGGGTTTGAACCGCCAACCATTGTGGTTAGCAGTCTGACACCTTACCCACAGTGCCACCAGAGTTTCTTAATTGTCACAACCAAGAGGAGCTTAAATGACAACTAAATGTAATGTCGTATCCTAGATGGACTCCCAAGAAGAAAAAGGATGTTTGAGCCAGGTAATCTGAAATAAAGTATAGACTTTAGTTAATAATGATGTATTGATTTTGGTTCATTAATTATGACCAATGAACCACGCTAAAGTATAATGTTAATAGTAGGGAACAGAATGTCCAAATACATACAACTTTTCTGTACTGTCTTTGTAACAACAGTTCTGTAAACCTAAAATTGTTCTAAAATAAAATATTAAAAAAAAAACAAAAACTAATATATGCCTTCTGATGATTTTTTTTTTAAAGGTATTGGTACCGAAGAACCCCTCCTTCATGGGAAAAATGGTCGAAGTGGACATTTATGAATCAGGAAAGCATTTTATGAAAGGGCAGCCAGTATCAGACGCCAAAGTCTATGCACCATCCATCAGCAAACCATTAGCAAAGGGAGAAGTCTCCGGCTTAACAGAGGTGAGCAAAAGATGTTTTCTTCTCTAGCCTGCCAGTGAAACAGCAGCTGGCAAAGGAAGCCCAGTGCTTCCAGACCATGCTTCTGTTATCGTTTATAGTTCCCTCTTTATGTATGCATGAGGCTCTAATCCTTTCTGACAGACTGCAATCTGAATTAGAAAGATGCATTTTTTATTTGCTGATGCCTATAGCTTTGCTTCCCTGCCTGCAAAGGGAATATGCTGTTTCTGGTTCCAGGCTATAAGCAGAGGGCAAAAGCCATTATTTGCAGGTGAAAGATTTAACACCCAAGATGATCTGATCCAGTATGTTTCTGTGTCAGTAGATCCTGAGTGGAAGGGGGCAAGGAACAGGTTTTCTTCCTTCCTGAAACTGTTTATAATACAGTAAAACCCTCCAGTTGATTGGGCACAAAAACCATATCAGTATAGGTAGTTAATAGGGTGCCTTTTTCTAGGGTGTTAGCTGCATATCTGCTTTAGTCATGTGGAGTGAAAATTAAACTTTTTTCTTTCTTTCTATAAAAAAGTAACCTGACCCCTATTTTATACCTTGGTAAATATGGCTGTTTGCCAAGCTCTCTCTTACATTTCATTGAGCTACAGCTGTAAAAGCTGATGGAGTGTGAAATGAAAATGTGTATCACATTTCTAAGCATCATTTGATGTCCTTTCTCTAACACAATTGTTAAGTGCTCCAAAAAAGAAAGAAAAGAAAAAAGTATATAATAACAAATGACTTACAGAAAGAAAAAAGAACACTGAGATTTACTCAGCCAGGTAATTCCAAAATGGCTTTAATTTATATATTTCCACTAAAATTAAATGGCAAGAGCATGTTAATTAAAACAAAGGACATATAGCTCTTCTTTGGCAATAGTGACAAATTTGGCAGTAGTGAGTTATTGTGATGAACTCTTGTATCCAAACATAGACGGCACCTAGTTGAACTTAACATGCCCACTGCCACTGAGCCCATCTGGACTCACTGTGACTCCAGCAGGCACAGTTGAACTGTTCCCTAGAGCTTAGACCTTAAGCCTTTCCGGAAGGGAACAGACAGCTTCATCTTTCTCCTGCAGAGCCGCTGCTGCTGCTAGTGGTAACAGTGTACTGTGGAGTTGTGTGACCCTGTACAGGGTTTCTAAGGCTGTACATCTTTATAGGAGCAGAAAGCCTTATCTGCCTCCTGCAGAATGGCTGGTAGTTTCAAACTGATGACCTTGAGGTTAGCAGCCGACTCGTAGCCACTATGCTAGCAGAGTGGCTAGTAGGTTTAAACCACTAATCTTTCAGTTAGCAGCCCAATGCTTAACCAACCTTTTCAGCAGGGCTCCAGGCATTAAAAGTATGGGGACGGAGGGGAGGAACTGTATGTAACTGCCTGCCTGAGAATGGAATGGGATAGATCAGCCTTTTGCAGAAATAGCAAAATGCATCTGCCAAATGCATCTTCTACCTCTCACCAGCGAGCTCTAGAACTCAATAAGTACCAACATTAAATTTTTGCTTTTTTTTTTTTTTTTTAAATGTTAGGGGTTGGGATGGAAGGTCAGTGAGGAACAATACAATCCAGCATTTAAATTATATTCCTATATTGATTTTTAGTATGTTGGCTAATCCTTGAGACATTTTTAAGGAAGGTGGCTTATTTTTCTTTTTTATTGTTCTGCGTAGCATGCTTTATAAAGATTGATTTTATATTGCCACAGTATAAAGGATTTTCAGTAGTAGGCAAATTATGATTTCAAAGATACTGTCTGAAATTGAAAGCCTTCGTATATGAGTATTGCAAAGGGTGACTTACTGACAAATCACCATTCCCAGTTACCATCCAACCACCTCCAACCCCATGTATGTCAGAGTGTCACTGCCACCCATGAGGTTTATAACAGTTGATTTTCCAGAATTGGCTAGATGGGCCTGAGCCTCCAACCTCTTGATTAGAAGTTGTGTGTATTAACTATCAACAGTTACACCACCCAGGAACCCCAAAATCATTACTAACATAAAAATATGGTAAAGTGTTATTTTATTAGTTCCTTAACTGTGGTATTACTTAAAAAAAAAAGAGCAGCCTTGTTTTAATTTGGTGGGAGCTTAGTTAGCAGTAATATCAACCTGGAGTCCTGATGTAGTACAGTAGGATAAGCCCTGAACTACTAACCACAAGGTTGGTGGTTCAAACCCACCAGCTGCTCCTTGGAAACCCTATACAGGATCACTTTGAGTCGGAACTGATTTGATGGCACTTAGCACCAACCATATTATTAGCTTAGCCTTTTCTTAGCCTCTTCAACTCTTCCCTCCCTCCATCTCATCTGTTGTTATAGTTAGATGCCATCAAGTCAATTCTGATGCACAACTGAACGAAATGCTGCTGAGTCGTGTGCCATCTGCACCGTTGTTGTTCATGTTTGAGCCATGGTTGATGTTACTGTGTCAGTCCATCTTGTAGGGATCCTCCTCCTTTTTGGTGACACTCCACTTTACCAAGTACGATGTCCTTCTCCAGGACTGATCCATCCGAACAACATGTCCACAGTGCAAGAGAAGTCTTGCCATCTTCCCTTCTAAGGAACATTTTGGCTATACTCCTTCCAAGACCAATTTGTTTGTTTTTCTGGCAGTCAAATGGTACTTTCAATGTTCTTCTCCAACACAATTCAAATGCATAGATTTTTCTGCAATCTTCCTTATTCGTTGTCCAATTTTCACATGCATATGAAGTGAATGAAAATATTATAGCTTGATTCAGGTACACCTTAGTCCTTAAAGTGCTCCTTAATAATTTAAACAGGTCTTTTGCAACACATTTGCCTAATGAATTACATTGTTTGATTTCTTGACTGCTGCCTCCTTTAGTGTTGGTTATGGGTCCAAGCAAAATGAATTTTTTGGCAACTTCAGTCTTTTTCTAACATTGAACCATCCTTGCATCCCTTTTATGAAACCCACTTTGTCATGATGTATTATTTTTTTGATGTGCTGCTAGATGCTGTTGGCTAGGATTTTGTTGAGAATTTTTGTGTCTATAATTTTCTTTCTTAGTGATATCCTTCCCTGGTTTTGGTATGAGGGTTATGCTTGTTTCATAAAAAGTTGTAGGAAGTCCACCCTCTTCTATATTCTGGAATAATTTGAGTAGAATTGGTGATAGCTCTTCCCTGAATCTTTGGTAGAACTCACCAGTGAAGCCCTCTGGACCTGTACTTCTTTTGGTTGGGAGTTTTTGATGACCTGATCAATTTCTTCCTTTGTTATAGGTCTGTTCATGTTTTCTATTTCACTGTGCGTAAGTTTAGGTAGGTCATGTTTT